TATGTGTTGGGCTATATACATAGTCATATATATATATATATACTACAGACTATACATATATGGTCAAATTATATATATATATATATACTATATAGAGAGAGAGTCATCCTCCAGAGCAGAGCTGTCCCTAGGGTGTTAGCAGGGCCCTGAGCAAATTGTTTTGGTGGGGTCCTGTTGTATAATCAATTTAATTTTAAGATATATTACAAAATTCCTTGGGTCATGTTAAGCAAAGTAATTTATCAAAAAATACTTAGAGAAATGGACAAAGAAGAAGGAAAAACATACTTGTTTCTTGTCCAATCAGTGCACATGAAGATTCTTTATACTGTCCAGACATCATAACTTTCCATTAATGTCCAGGTACCATCTTGTGATGGTTAATTCTATTGTCAACTTTATTGTGCTATCGGGTACCTAGGTACAGTAAAGCGTACCTGATTAAACATTATTTCTGGGTGTGTTCATAAGGGTGTTTCTGGACGACATTAGCATTTGAATCAGCGGACTCAGAAAAGCTGAGGGCCTCCCCATCATTCACGCTGTTGAGGTCCTGAATGGAATAAAAAGGTAGAGGAAGGAAGAATTTGCCCCTTTTCTTCCTGCCTGCCTAAATTACTGGGACATCAGCCTTCTGCTCTTCAGCTGGAATTTTTACCATCAGTACCCCTGGTTCTTAGGCCTTCAAACTCAGACTGGGATTATGCCACCTGCTTCCTGGGTCTTCAGCTTGCAGACAGCAGATAGTGGATAGATCCACATTTATATTAATATTTGTCTTGTAATTTGTTCTCTTTCTCTGGAGAATCCCAATAGCATCTCTTTGTGTAATTTATTTTCAAGTATACTGATTCTGGCTAGTTTTATATGTCCCACCATGAGAAAAAAAGTATCAATCCTATATTTACTCACACTGTCATGGCACTTCAGAACCTGTTTGTTTGGGAACAATATATATCTCCATGCCTATGCAGCTCCCTAGTAGCATTTTTTAATGCCAGTCACATCATTACTCACGATGCTGCATCATCTGCCATGCCACCTATGAATACTGGCTTCCAGTGACTCAAGAGGTTGTTACTAAGCTTCACTGATGAAGACTACAAATGCAAGTCTTACTCAGAATATGTAGGAAAATATTGAATGATAAACCGTTTTTCAGTTATGTCAAATTTACCACTCACAATTTTATTACGTACACATAGAAAAATGTATCTTCCAACCATGTCTGGAACTCTCTGGTCTACAATCACTGCATTTTTAGAATGTTATCTCTTTCAGTGTTGACCACATTACTGCCTTTCATTCACAGGCGTCAGAGGGAGCACAGGTGGTGGCTTATGGAAGAAGTAAGAAGAGCAGTTTTATTTACACAAGAAGTGTCTGCCCCTTGCCACATGGCCTAAGATCAACTCAGAAGAGGACATCACACATCCATCAGATGCAGAAAAGAGCATCGGTAAGAAGAATTCATTGGCCCATCTCAAAAGTCCTTGGAGTAGACAGTCATGGCCACCTCTGGCAGCCATCCTGACAGGTATTAAGGAGCCCATTCAGTGGGGTAAAGTGACTTCCTTGGGTGTCAGCAGTGAAGGTTGCACAAAGGTGGGGAATAGCGGTAAGGGGTGAGGTTTGAGAGGTCAAGAAGGGTAATAAGTAAGCAGGGCCAAGTAAGAAAGGGCTGGAAGGATGGGCAAACCAAGCAGCAGCAACTATGTGTGGAAAGGCATGGAGCTTTGAAAGGAGAAGGTGCATCCAGGAAACATCAGTTGGTCTCTTGTGGCTGAAATAATGCATTTATGGAGGGTCAAGATAGAAGGTTGGGCACAAGACCAAAGCCAGAGTTCATTGGCTTAACATGTCAAGCAAGAGAATTTGAATTCTATAAGTCATGAAGACTTTATGTAATATCTTAAGTAAAAGACAGACATGGCTGGAATTGGAGTTTTAGGAAAAACACTGTGGGAGCAATGGGAAGAGAGAGAGACTGCTGGGGAGAAACCAAATAGAAGGAGGTTGTTTTAATTATCCAGGAGATGATGAAGAGAGTCTCTGAAGTTGATGGCAACCGAACTTGGGAAAGGAGTTACTGGGCTAGAGAGGACACAGTAGACTCTAACATGTTTCAGGGGCCAAACAGACAGGATGCTGTGATTGATGAATGCAGGAATGAGGATAGGGGAGGAGCCCAGGATGACTCCCAGCTTCTACCCATGTTGCCTGGGTGGAGAACAGTATCATTCCTGAAACAGGGAACAGAGAAGGAGCAAGTTTGGCAGGAAAGGGGATCAACTCAGGCTGGAACTTGCTGAGTTAAAGGAGCTTCAGGACATGGAAGAGGAGGTTCCCAGAAGACAGGGAACAGATTCAAAAGTAGGGAGTGAAGTTTGGCCTGGAGAAAGTCATGGAACCCATAGAGACAATTCTGGAATGAGAAGACAGCTAAGAGGAGAATCAGAGAAACACTACAATTTAAGAAACTGTCATGGTGTAAAACTCAAGAATTGAAATACAGAAGACCCTGGGATGAAAGTCCATCTTCCAAGTATTAGAAACCATGCCCAATTTTTTGGCCAAGTTTTCACAATCCACTATCCACACACATCCATATTCCATCTGTTCTTTTTCAATGACAAGTAAAAGCATAACCTGCATCCTCATCACATGTACAAAATTCTTGTACAAAATTTCTCTAGAGCCTAACATGGGTGTCCTCTTGAGTCAACAAGAATGAACTCTGCCAGTGAGTTTATAGAAAGTTAACTTCAAGAACATGCCACAAGCTTACAGTAGATATTGCCAAAGGACTGGTCACAAGAGTCAATCAGTCAGAGCTACTAGCCCTGTCCATGGGTTTGCATTTTCACAGCTCACTTCTAGGCATCCAGCTTTTGGTCTGACCTTGGTTCAGGCCTTCTCCTTTATAGCTGCCAGAAGGATATTTCTGAATATCCCTTTGGACAACATCTCTCTCTGCTTGGGAGAACCCAGTGCTCTCTTCCACCTGCAAGCAACTTAGCAGACATCCTGGCCACAGCCTGAGCCTACAGCTTTTCCAGCCATTGCTTCTTTCAGGTTGCCCGAAGTTCTGTTGCTCTGGGTATCTTCCAGTTCCCGGGTACAACAGGTATTTTTAGGCCCCAGTGCCTTTGCACATTTCCTGGAATACTATTTTCTTTGTTACCCACTAAAAGCAACTCCCACATATTCTTATTTATTCAATTTTTTGCATTCAGACTTTGAATTCCTCAAAAACAGTAACTGCTGTCAAACTCACCTTGTTATCCCCAGTTCATAGTTCAGGATTTGCCAATATGTTGGAATGAATGCCTATGAGACAATCAGACAACTTGCCACAGTCAGGAGAAAGAGGAAGGCTGGAGTAGCTGTGAATAGTACAGGAAGAACCTCCTCATGAATGTGGAAGAGGGGGAGCATCAATAGAATTACCATGAATTGACACAGTGGCCATATTTCCACCTGGTGGAGGAATCCATTTTTAGCTCAAACCATCCTCAGGAAGTTACTTTTCCTACCAGAGAGGTAGCAGACTAAGAACAACCCCCTTCATTAATTCCCAACAACTTGAATAATGGATGGACCACGTGGAGTTTAGAAACCCAGGTTACAGGTTGTAAATGTAGCTCTGGGCATACTGGGCAGGGGACTAGGGGTGGTTTCTTGAAGAGAAAGCCAGGACAACTATTTCCCAGAATAAATTAGAAGAAGCAAAGCTCCTTATGAATATTGGGGAATGCCACTGATGGCCCACAACGTAAGCTTCAGTCAAAACATAGCAGAGGCTGGGGATTTTCTGCAAATAAACAGTAATGCGCAGGCGAGAGGAGCAAGGTATCTTCAGAAGGAAGTCAGCAGTATTTCCAGGAAGAACCCTAATGGAGTCCTTTCTCTGAGCTGTTTCTAGCCTTGGGCTTTCACCAGGTACATAGTGAGAGTGAAATGGCAGCTTATATCAGGCTCTTGTATACCCCGTACTATAACATGGATAGTTTTTTCTGTACTAGTGTCCTCAAGTTGTCCACATAGGTTTCTCATTCTAGAATATGAGCTCAGTATTCACTATTAAGATTTTTGTGATTAAAGTCCTAAATTGCAGTCTCTCCAGTTACTACATAGGACACCCAAGCTGGGTGCCTCTGATCTGACACATGAAAACAAGATTTAGGTGCCTACATTCCTTCATTTAACAAGTATTTATTGAGTACCTACTATGCGCCAGATACTCGGAGTATGATACTAAACAAGAGACCCTGTGTTCTGGGACTTGATAGTCCAAGTGGGGAAGGGACACTGACAAGCAGCCAGGGCTTACAATACAGTCTATGCACAATACTCTGCACTGTGATGGGGAATTAGAGGGGGCCATGGAGACACAAACAAGAGGCCTCTGTTTTAGACTAAAAGGGTCAGGAAAGGCTTCTTGGAGAAATTATGTCCATGCTGAGACATCCCATTATACAATGTGAAGGGAAGTGGAAAACAAGGCAGGCTCCAGGCATACAAGCTGGGCAACTGCATGTGCAGAGATCTGAAGTTGAGAGAGAGAGCACATGGCCTATTAAGGGAACATGAGAAGAGCAGGACAGGTCCAAGTGTGGGCCCAGCTCAGTTCAGCCCAACTATACATGTGTTACCAAGGAAGAGACCAGAAACCTGGGTGCACAGCCCAGGATCAGCCCCAACCTGATACGCCATTCTCACCTCAATTGCAGATTTGAAGATTCAGCTTAACCAGGACTGCAAGGCCAAATGGTCCTTGAAGCCTCAATCCCAGCAGCTCAGAATCGCCCAGCCTCCAGCATGTAAGGAAGAGTAAAAGGAAAGTTGCAGCCATGACCCAAGACCCTGCCTGGCTTCCTGCTCTGTGGTGGCTTCATCTTAGTAAGAAGGCTGCCATCTTGGGAATGAACACTGGGGTTGGGTGGGGTGGGGTGGATGCTGAGGAGGGAGACCCAAACACCTGCCCAGTTCATTCAAAGAAGCTGGTTGTCACCACGTGATCAAAAAAAAAGAGACAATGTGACTGCATTTCAGTCACATTTTCTGCAGGCTTGTAGACATAGTAGAGGTTTACAACCCTTTACATTATGTGGTGGTATCACTCTGGGGAGATGCACCAGAACCCTCCTTGGAAATAATTACTCCACTCAACAGCCAAGAAGCATCTCCTAAGGAATGTATATTGTTTCAACCTGGGATTGGAAGAAGGGCAAAGTTCTCGAACAATATTTCATGGTTTACACACATCTTGATGTTTACCGAGCACTTGTTGTGTACCAGGCTTCTGCTGGGTATTTTAATATCTAGCATGAAGTTGGCTTCTTGTGACAACCCTTACAGGATAGGTAAGCTATCCTAGTTTTCAGATCAGGAAATTGAGGCCTAGGGAGGTGTAAGAAACTTGCTGAAAATGCACCCTGTTAAGTGACAGAAATAGAATTTAAATCCGGACCTCTTGCTTCCCCTCACTCCCATCCCTGCATTATCTTATGTCATCATCTCAAGAGCCATGGTAAGGTTGACAATATTAGTAATTTCAGATGAAGAAAAGCGAGGCTTGGATAGGTAGCAGAAGGTACCAGAAGCAGGTGTTTCCAGCTGATAAGTTTGGGCCCATCCGTCAGCACATTTTCTGAGGCAGCTCCCCATGCTGAGCACCACCTCCCACAATTTTAGTCCAACCTTCTAATGAAAAATAAATGCCTGCCCACCTCTCCCCTGTGCACTAGGCCAGATCAGGCAATTACACACTGGGTGCGTGGGAAGAGGACTGGTTCTGAGAGACCAAGCTGATAGGGAGGGGTGATGGCAGAGAGAACCCAGCTGGCTCAGCTGGGTCTTCCCAAGACCCCTCCGACCCCTCTCCCACTACCCTTTCCACTGAGAAACCCGCCCCACTGCCCAGAATGACCCATCCTGCCTGGGTGAGGCAGGAGCCACCAGCCTGCCCCTGAATCCTAGAACTAAGGATTTTACATGTTTTCCAACCCAACTCTAACACAAGGCCATAGCATAGTGGTGAAGACACAAGAATTGAAATGATACCCACCTTCACTATTACTCAGTCTGAATTTGGACAGTGGCTCTGTCTCTTAGAGCCTGTGTTGTCTTCTGTGAGATGATGATGATAGTAGCACGTAGCACACAGGGCTAAATGAAATCATCCATGTGAAGAGAGTGTGCCAGGGATAGCTACATGACAAGTGCTCAGAAAACATGAGTCACTTGTCTCCATTTTTTCTTTATATTGAAGTATAATGAACACATCAAAAAATGCATAAGTGCATAGCTCACTGTTTTTGCACAAATTGAACACACCTGTGGAACCAGTACCCAATTCAAGAAACAGCATTCTCAGCACCCCAGAAGTCCCTAGACTACACCTTTCTGGTTGCTATTTCCTCCCAAGAGTAACCCCTATCCTTACTTCTTACAGCATAGATAAATTTCACCTGTGTTAAAGATGGTACTATTTAAGCAAAGATATGGAATCAACCCAGATGCCCATCAATGATAGACTGGATAAAGAAAATATGGTACATATATGCCATGGAATACTAGACAGCCATAAAAAGGAATAAAATAATGTTATTTGCAGCAACATGGATGAAGTTGGAGGCTATAATATTATGCAAATTAATGCAGGAACAGAAAACCAAATACCACATGTTCTCACTTATAAGTGGAAGGTAAACATTGAGCATATATAGACATAAATATGAGAACAGTAGACATTGTGGACCATTAGAGGGTGGAAGGAGCAGGGGGGATGGGGAGTTTTTAAAAGTACCTATTGGATACTCTGCTCACTACCTGGGTGACAAGATCTGTACTCCAAACCTCAGCATCACATAGTATCCCCACATAACAAATCTACACATGTATCCCCCATATCTAAAATAAAAGTTGATTTTTTTAAAAGTGGTACTACTTGTTTTGTTAACTATAATTTAAAATGTACCAGAAATTTGCACAAATTCTTTAGGTGTGTTACCTTATTTGGTCTTCACAGCAGTCTTCTAATGTAGGTATACTCACATTATCCCCATGTCATAGATGAAGAAACAGAGAAGAGTCTATGGAATCTGCAAAAATGCAGGCAGAACTTAAGTTTAACAAGATCGCAGTATTCAAAATCAAAATGCAGAAATCAATTGCATTTCTAAATACTAGCAACAGACCATTGGAAATTGAAATTTACAATGTCATTTACAAAATATTTATGCATACATTTTAAACCATGAAATACTTTGGGATAAATTTAACAAAATAAGAAATATACAATCAAAATTATAAGGCATAAATAAAAGAAAATTTTAAAAGATTTAAATAAGTGAAAGTATAGACTGTATTCATGGGTTGGAAGACTCAAGATTGTTAAAATATGAATTTATTCCAAACTAACCTATAATTTTAGTGTAATCCCAATCAAAATTCCAGCAGACTTTTAAAAATAAATTGAAAAATTGATTCTAAAATGTGTGTAAATAAACAAAGGCCCTAGAAGAGCCAAAACAATTTTGCAAAATAAGAACATTTTGAAGGCTTATGATAACTGGCTTCAAGACTTGCAGTAAAGCTACTGGAATCTAGGCAGTGTGGTATTGGCATAAGAACAGAAAAGCTGCGTGCAGGAGCACGGGTCTATAATCCCAGCTACTCAAGAGGCTGAAGTGGAAGTGTCACTTGAACCCAGGAGGTTGAGACCAGCCTGGGCAACATAGCAAGACCCCATCTTGCTAAGGAAAAAAAAGAATAGGCATACAAATCAACGAAACACAATAGGGAACACAGAAATAAACTCATACATATACTGTCATTTGGTTTTAGACAAATATGCCAAGTAATCCAATGGGAAAGGGATAATTGTTCTGATAAATGGTGTTGAAATAACTGAACATACATGTGCATAAAGAATACATAAATACAGAAAAGAAGAATCTTGGCCTCTGCCTCACAGGGCACATATAATTCATTCAAATAATTTATCACAGATTTAACTTTAAAAGTTAAGACTGTAAATGTTCTATAAGTAGCAGAAGATCTTTACAAGATTGGGATAGGCAAATATTCTTATATAGAATCTGAACAAAGAACGCACTGTAAAAAATGATAAATTATACTTCATCAAAATTTTTAAATGTCCTCTCTTTAAAAGGCACCATTAAGATAACAGGCTACATACAGGAAAAAACTTTTATTACACATAGGTCTGACAAGAGACTTATATCTAGAATATTTAAAGAACTCTTCTAACTCAATAAAAAAAAAAGGCCTAAATTTTGTAGGTAGGCAAAATATTTCTCAAGATACACAAATTGTCAATATTCACATTAAAAGATCATTAGTAATCAGGGACTAGAATTAAAAAAGCAAAATGAGATTATATGGCATGTCAATTAGGATGACTAAACTTAAAAAGGCTGATAACAAAAAATGTTGACAAGCAGATGGAGCAACTGGAACTCTCAGACATTATGGTGGGAAATGTAAAATAGTACAAACACTTTGGAAAAAACTCATGTAGTTTTTTACAATGTTAAACATATGTTTACTATATAACCTAGCAATTTTACTTGTACCTATTTACCCATGAGAAATGAACACAGATGCCCAAACAAAGACTGTGTGCAAATGTTTAGCACAAATTTATTCATAGTTACCACTCAAATTCCCATCAACTGGTGAACAGACACACAAGCTGTTGTATTATCCATACAAAAGCATTATACTCAGCAATAAAAAGAAGCAAAATACTGGACTGATATATGCCATCACATGTACAAATCTGAAAAACACCTTACTGAGCAAGATGAGACAGAACACAAAAGAATAAATCTATATGATTTTATGTATAAGTTCTAGAAAGAATAAGTTTAATCTAAACTAATAGAAAACAAATCAGTGGTTGCCTGGGTCTAGTGGTGGGAGAGAGGGGTAGGGAATAGGGAGGGAGGGGGTGCCTGGGAAGTATCACAAGGAGACATTTAGGCATGATGGAAATGTTCCATATATTGATTATGATTGTAGTTAATGGGTTAATGAGTATATCTATTCACCAAAATTTACTGAATTGGTCACTTAAAATGAGTGGATTTTGTCATGTAATAATTATATCCTAATTATTAATAAAATAATTTTAAATAGGGAAGGGAACATCACACACAGGGGCCTATTGAGGGGTGGGGGTCTAGGGGAAGGATAGCAGAGGGTGGAGGGACTGGGGAGGGATAACATTAGGAGAAATACCTAATGTAGGTGACAGGGGGATGGATGCAGCAATCCACCATGGCATGTGTATACCTATGTAACAAACCTGCACAATCTGCACATGTACCCCAGAACTTAAAGTATAATAAAAAAAATAGAGAAAACTATTGGTTTTATTATTATTACTTACTATCTCCCAGGAACTGTGCTAAGCCCTTTATGTGTATTATCTCCCATACAACTCTCTCAAAAGCCCTCTGGTCTGTGCACACTAATATCATGCCCATTTCACAGAGGACAAAACAGAGGCTCATGGAAGAATATGATATAATGTAGCCAAAGTTAACCACTAATAAGCAATCCAGGATTAGAATTTAGGTAGTCTTAATCAGTGAGTATATGGCCTTTGAAGCATGGAAAAATTCCTCCATGTACACTTAAGTAATTATCAGTACATAAATGACTGTTACTGATTATGTGCTTGTATTGTTATTTGCAGAGATGGTGCTTAAAGTCCACCCCTCTGAGTATCAAGATCACAGGCATGTGGGGCACCTCTAATTTGAAGGACAGCCCAGTCAGGGACTGGAGATTATGTCAACACCCCAGCTGGATAAGACAAATTTTATCATAGGCCTTAGCCAACAGAGAGCTGGGTAGGGAAACTGAGACAGAAGTTGACCTGAAGGAAAAGTGTGCACATAGGCTAAAGTATGGAGGACATGAGCATCCAAGAAACACACACATACCAGGCCTGGGGCTCCAAGTAACAGAGAAAACTCTGAACCCCACCTGGGGTGAGGTTGACGTTCCCAATGCACTTCCTGTACTTGTCAGGGTGGATCAAGGATTGGGTAGGGCTGGGTGGGGTTGAAGGCCAATCTGAAGAGCCTAGTTGATCAGTGTGGCTGTCCCCTCTGGCTCCCAGTCAATCTGAGACCAGTCACTCCTAGCAGAATGAAAAGTTTGCACATGGCTGCTTCTAACCTCAGCTTCTCCCTCTTTTTAACACCAGGAAAGCTTTTCTTTGAAAATTCCCCTGCTTCTCTGAGTCCACAGTGATGAAGAATGAGATCACAGCCTGTAGTCATGACTTTGGTCCTGAAACAATTATTCATCCTGTTCTACTTAAGATTGGTGGCCCGTGCTCACTGGGCGATGAGCTCTCCCCCTAATCCCTCTCCCACCAGTTCTCTCATGGCTCACTGCCCTGTTGGCTTTGTCAGGTGCAATTGCATCAGGTTAAGGCAGGGGAGGAGGGGTGAGGGCTGGGCTCCAGCTTGGGAATTAAGAAGTGGAGAGAGGCCAGAGATAGAAGGAAGCAAAAAGACAGAGACAAACACAGAAACACTCCTGTTTTTTCAAAGTCTTAGGCATAAGGGGCCCTTCTCAATAGGTTACTATTTTAGAAACATACAAAGAGTTGTTGAATCCAGACATGGGAGCCTCACTGGTGAGATTTTTGGTCCAGTGGAAATATTTGAAAGTTGTTACTTAAAGTGCCCCCTAGACAACAAAAGGCAGGCTCTGTATGTGCCCTCAGTCAATGAAATCTTCTCCACCCTCCCCCAAGACAAGACTCTAGGTTATGTTGGATCCATGAGAGGAGTCACCGTGTCATCCTCGAAATGCCATTGAGAAACCCTCATACAATGATTGTCATGGTTTCCCCTCTTTATTTCTTCTGGAAGAGTGGAAGTAGGGGGAGGCAGAAAGTATAGTGGCAGAGGATGAAGATAACAGACCACTTCAATACTTAGTGACTGAAGCACTAAGACAATGGGGTGTCCCAGAAGGATGCTGAGCAGCCAGTGTTAGAACTGCGTTTTAGATAAAATGCTCCAGCAGCCAGAGTGAGGACTGGACCAGACACAGGCCAGGGTGAGAGATCTCAAGATGGGCCTGGGGCATCAGTAGTGATGATGGAGGGTAGGAGATAGATTTCTATGACTGAAATTTGTTATTTTACATGTGTGGCTGCCCATTAATGTTTTTGTTTGTTTGTCTATTTGTTGTTTTAGAGACAGGGTCCTGCTCTGTTGCCCAGGCTGAGTACAGTGGTATGATCACAGCTCACTGCAGCTTCAAACTCCTGGGCTCAAGTGATTCCCCTGCACCAGTCTCCCAAGTATCTGGGACCACAGGCATGCACCACCACTCCTACCTATTTTTTTACATTTTTTGTAGAGATGGGGGCCTCACTGTGTTGCCTAGGCTGCTCTGAACTCCTGGTCTAAAGCGATCCTACCACTTCGGTCTCTCAAGTGTCTGGGATTACAGGCGTGAGCCACCAAGCCCAGTGGTTTTTTTTTTTTTTTTTTTTTTTTCATTATTGTTTTAACAGCCTTTTGAGATTTGGGGGAAAAAGTCATAATGAGTTCCAATTTCTGACACAGAAGTCAGAACTCAGATGATTTCCAGACTCCCTTGCTGCTATGCTACAAACACACCAGCCTCCATCAACTAGACACTCTGATTGGGAAGTGGTCAGTTTGAGAAATTGGTCTGTTTGGAGCTCACTCACAGTTTTGCTGGTGCAGGAAACAACCAAGTTACCAGCTTTCAGGGCAGTATGTTTGCCAAGCCAAATTACCAACCCAGAAGTGACACTGATGCTGGTAACAGTGGTCACTTGCAATGAAGTCAGGTTTCTGGCATCTAGTATTCAGTGTCAAGTTCAGCAACAGCAATCCAAGTCTTAACATTAGGCCAGATCTGCAATGTGTTTTTGGATGTTCTTAGAAGCTTGGCCTCAAGCCAGTTTCTCCATCTCCTTCATTAATTATCGGGGCTCCTGGACATATTTTGCTAAATTATTCTTCCTCCTAGTTTCGTATTCTGCCACTTGCAACAGAAAAACTGGCTGATACAATTC